CAATTAGTCGACTAGTCGATTCTTTTCTCTGCAATGACTTTTTTCTGGGCTAGTCGACTAGTCGCAATCACGACTAAACAGATTTTTCCAAGGAAATGAAAGAAGGTGGACTAGGTGAGTTCGTCAGAAAGCTCAAATTGTATAAAAATGTAAATAATTTAACAAAGACAATCTGTAAATTACAGCATAGGCTACCGCAATAGGGGCGTTGCGCGCCGCCCTACATACAGAGACTTTAGCCCGCGGTAGGCAGGAGTCCGTTTCCCATCCTCCATTCGCTGTGCCCATGCCTCTCTCCCCCCGCTCCGCTCTCTCTGCCCCCTTACAGTCAGATTGCTGTCAAATAAACTAGTGCCGAAAAAAATCCTTAAAAGACTACCCGAGTAATGTGCACAACGCGGCATGATGCCAGGCTTTTTTATCCATCCAACTGATCAGCGTCACCCTGCGTATTGAAGCTTTTAACCTGGCAGCTTTACGCTCTTATAAAGATGTGGTTTGACTACATCTGGAAACCAAGTCCAAGCTTCATCCTGAGGATCTGATAGAGGCGATCTCTGCCGCCGTCTGCATGTCGGTACAGAGAGCCGCTGCTGAGTCAGCAGAGATCATGCTGCGCATCGGGCGGAGGAGCAGCAGGAGGAGCAGCAGGAGGAGCAGCAGGAGGAGCAGCAGGAGGAGCAGCAGGAGGTTTCGTTAAATTCAACTGTAACCAAACGGGAAACCGTTCATAATAAGTTTGGTTTGTGATGTTCCAAAAGCACCATTGTGGTCAGTGTGATAATTTGACTCCTATACAAGTAACTATCCAGAGATCGTTTGGAAAAAAAACAAAAAAAAAGTCAGACCAGACTTTGTACAACAAACTTTTCTCCCTGCTCACGTAGAATGATCTGTTTATTGCTCTTTTAATTCTGCATAATAGACGTGGTAAAAGCGGGAGAAGGGGAGGCGGTGTCAATATTTGCCGTGAAAATAGCTGATAAAGCCTCCAAGTAGTTGTGAAGGGTTTTTGCGCTTACCTATGACGTCACCGCGACTAGTCGACATCGACTCGACTACTATCATGATGTAGTCGACCTTAAAAAAATATGTAGTCGTTCAACCCCTAATCAGAATATGAATTTTTAATCTTCCCTAATTTCATTTCTTCTCTCCTGTCTTTCAGTCTGGTCTTGTCCTTTCATTTCCCTAACTCCTTCCTTTGTTCCTCTTGTCCTACATTTTGTTCCTTGTTGCTTGTCTTTCATCTTCCTTTCCTCTGTCCTCTGATCCTTCCTCCCTGTTGTTCAGTTAGGTTTTTATGTATATCTCAGATGCTGTAACAGTATCTGCTAAGAAGATTAATTTTTTTGCAATTTGTATGTTAAAATGTGTGCTAAGTTTAAAAGTGTATTACTGCAGATTTTAAGCCTGCTTATCTCTTTGAGAAAAGTAAATATTAATGTTATGTTCTTTATTATCTTTTTGTGTTTCAGACCACCTTCCAGACTGAACTTGGTCAGACACTGGACCTCATTACGGCTCCACCTGGTCACATTGACCTGAACAGGTTTACCATGGAAAGGTAATAACAGGAAAAATATCTTAAATTATAGATTTAAATATGCAGTTTATCGGAGTAAAAAAAAAAGTATTTTTTTTCCTTCATTCCAGGTATAAAGCAATTGTGAAATACAAGACTGCCTTTTATTCGTTTTATCTCCCAGTGGCCTCTGCAATGTACATGGTGAGTATGTTTGTATTGTTAACCACAATGCTAATTAAGATTGTTTAGGGGGAAGAAGTTAAAGACTGCAGAGTTGTTTCTTTGGGAAAGATAAGCCAGCACAGCTTGCCCTTGTAAAGTAATGAAAGCATGCAGCAGGTTTCTCTTACATGCTGCACTTTCATTCCTGCAGGCAGGGATTGACAGCGAAGAGGAACACAGTAATGCCAAGCACATCTTACTGGAGATGGGAGAGTTTTTCCAAATACAGGTAGTTGGTTATTAATATTATCGGTTTTCTCACTGTTTAAATAACATGCTGACATGTCTGCTGTGATGATACACTATTTATATGTTTTATTCCACAGGATGACTACTTGGATTGTTATGGTGACCCGGCTGTGACTGGAAAGATTGGGACAGACATCCAGGACAACAAATGCAGCTGGTTGGTGGTGAAAGCTCTAGAAGTGATGACTCCAGAGCAGAGATCAGTTCTGGAGGTGAGGTTTGTTATGCTGCATTCCCATTTGAGCAAAAAATTATCTTCATAGCGACCTAATCTATGGGTCAAAGTTTAACTCCAATGCAAAAACGTCAGATTACGATTTGTTTCCTTGCATGGATGTCGTCTCCAACAAAAAAATCAAGCATTTATTAAGAAATTAGCCTTCACTCACAGAATGAAAATGCCAGTTTCCCTATTTCAGTCATTTTCTGGCTGGTAATAATGATGTTCCACAAAGATGCCCATCTCATTGCATATCCTGTCCTTTTTCTGTTTCCTCTTGTTTACTTTCAGGAGGTCGATGGTTTACTAAAAACTTTCCATTGCAGCTGATATAATCCTGCTGTTCTTAAGAAATATAATGTTTTAAGTGCATCCACATTTGGATGTTCATGGAAAATTGTGCTAACAACCGTTCTGTGGAAATCCAGTTAAATCTGATGCTCTTTTAAGACTCCTGGGATTTCTTGTTTCCCTTCAAGCCATTGCAAATTTCGCAAGCAGCTTTAGGTTAATTTGCACCAGTTCAGACCAATTTCATCTCAACAGCATTTCGTCATCCTCTGAAACATTTTCCAATACTGGATCTTACTGGATCTTTTTTGTGGCTCCTCCTAAAGGGTTTCTCTGTGATGTAGGTCTGGGGTTTGTGATAAACTCATAGGAACGTTAATTTTGTGTGTTTCTTTTTATTTTCACGTAACGCATTTTCCACTGAATGGCATCAAGAGCTGATGTTTTCGCACTCTCTTTAGGCTTGCTACGGGCGCAAGGATGAAGCCAGCGTGTCGAAGGTCAAAGAGCTGTACAATGCTCTACAAATGCCAAAACTGTATCACACATATGAAGAGGAGAGCTACCAGCGGCTGCAGAAGCTCATCGCTCGGCATGCTCAGAACCTTCCTCACTCAATATTCCTCAACTTCGCCAAGAAGATTTACAAGAGGAACAAGTGAGGGATGGAGCATCACAGGAAAGAACTTGGAACTAGGATGTTAAAGTCACAAGGGAGAAGTTTCAGACCGGTCTGAGCTGAACATAAGTATTTAAGTAGGTTTTCAGTGAGTTATGAATGTTAGGGAAAATGGTTAAAGGGAGAGGAAAGGGCATATTTACCCCACAAAAGTCTCAACGCAGTTATTGTTTATATTTTGACAATAATGTCGAATAAAGAGTTGTACTTTATTTGGGGTTGGGAATGATGTGTCTCCTGGGAGATTATTTCCTAAAACATTTTTATAGTGTTTTTATAAAATAGCCAATTGTCTCAATGTGATTGTGCCTAATAAATTATTTATGATCTGTCTCTTTTGCATCCTTTTTCTGGGCAAGAATAATGGACACCAAATGCACTTGCTGAGCAAGAGAAAGAGATTGTTAAACGCCCATAAATAATGGTCTGGTCTGGTTTGGTGCACATGGAGACTAGTGAAGGATATGTAAAGGATTGTCACTTAATCTGCATCTTATTTTATCAATCACAGACAATTTATCCCTTTTTAAAAAACCTTAATCCCAGTCAGAAATTCAATTACGATTAGACCAGTTTATATCAAGAACCATGTAGTATATAAGAGTTATGAAATGCATTCAGAGAGCAATCTGTCAACAATATTAATATGCCAGTGACACAGTAAATCAGATCAAGTTTCACAATTGGGAAACTGAAAGATGGTGAGGGAAAACAGCCAAAGTTCATCACATTCACAAGGTTTACATGAAACCATGTTGCTCAATGGCCGATATTAAAATAATTGAACAGAAGCATTTTGCGTTAAAAGCAGGGATATTACACTTTTTAATATAAAAGTTTTATTTCATGGCATACACAATAATAGGAAAAACTGCTAATGTTACCAGTAGGTGGTCAGTAAAATGCTTCAAAATAGGCTTTTTGCTTTTTGTGAAGCTGTGTCTGGATATATTAGCAAACATTCAAGTGGGAGGAAAACATTTGGGTGAAATTACATGTGAATTAGGAATGACTGCAGCCTGAGGAGGATTACAAACTTCTTGTCCTCAGCTATTCAGCGTTCCTCATGTCAGGCCTTTTTTTCTTGATGCAGATACAATTTCAGAAACCTCTTAATGGGCATGAAGAGAGAATTGGCCAGACTGTTGCCAAGTCATATTATTTTTAATATAAAGCATATTTTGTGTAAAAACAATTATATATATTAAATGTATTTTTGCTTTATCAGGTCACTGATGAAGTTATTCATGAAAAAGGAATCTCAAGCAAATGTTAAGCACACATTGTGTGCTTAACTAAAGTAAAATTAGTTTACTTTTATACAGTTTTGTATTCAGTGTTTTTTATTGATCTTATGTAAATTACCACTTTTCTGAGGAACTGAATTTTGGTTTTCAATGGCTTTTTAAGACAGTTTTTTGTAATGTTTTGAAACATAAAAAAATATAAAAAACATCTTAATATATTACTCTAATGCATTTAAAATATGTTCTATTTCTAAATAAAAACATTGTTAGTAATATGAGATGTACACTGTACACTAGATATAGAAATTAAATATTTTGTCTGATTTTGTTCACAATTGACCTAATAAATCTAAAAAAAAAAAAAAAAAATATATATATATATATATATATATATATATATATATATATATATATATATATATATATATATATAAATAAATGAAACGCAATGATGAGGATGATTATGCTGATACCAGCAAGGGGTTGGCTGGGGGGAAAAGGAGGCGTTTCTGTGTTCTCGCGAGAAGACAGACGATGAGGCCGTTAACAACGAGAAGAATCCACATCCTCCCGGACTTGGATGTGAGAAAGACATAGGAGATGGAGACCTTCACCCATCTTTAAACGAATCCGACGTGAGTCATTTTAATACTACATTTATTTGCATGCATGTCCGTATATTGTTTTTTTAAGCGTACCTGCTTTAACGAGTCATGTCAGAGAAATGTCATGATTTAACATGGTTAAAAAACGTAGAATTCCGCTTGAGGTCGTGATACGTAGACTATGTGGGTTTAAATGTATATTATTTAATATTATTTTATTTATATATACGCATATTTGAGTTAGAACAGGGATAAAATAGAGGTTGACGCTATAAAGCGTAATAAATGGGGCGTGTGGGCCTGTTTGAGAGCGATGCGGATGGATGTAGCCCCCCTCCTCCACCCATCCTCAGCCCAGTCTCCATCAGCTCTGTGGGATCAATGCTAACAAGGTTCTGCACGGGACCGTCCAAACACACGCAGAGATAGGCAGTAGTTTATATTGTAGTTCCTTGGTGTACTTTATAGCTTTGCTGGCTTCAACCTGCATTCCTGAGAACAAACAGATTATTGAGTCATTTATGTTCCCATTGCTGTAAAGGACTATATATATGTATGTATATATATATATATATATATTATTTTTATATTATATATTTTTATTTTATTTATTTTATTTCGGTGGATGGGCTTTTAAAAGAAGAAGGCACACTCAGTGATGTGCTGATTATTTCATGCTCCAGTTACATCTGCGTTATGCTCCAGGTATTGGGGATTTTTTTCCCCCCCTACAATCTTTTTCATTTGATGTTGCTGTTCCTTGTGGCAGAGATGCAAACACTATCGACTAAAGATTACTGAGGAAGCTTTCCCATAAGATGACAGTTCTATCTCTAATAAATATTAATGATTAATTATGCAATATTTTAAGGGTAGCTTGTTAGACTGTGTTCTTTTTCAATGTCAGGGCAAAAAATATTAAGAGAGAATGAAAAACTTGTTTAATGAAATGAAATTTCATGTTGAGAATGCCTCATGAGGGAGTCTTCTTGCTGTCAGTGTTTAAGTAGCTGTAAAAAAACAAAAAAAAGGGTCCTGTGGCAGCCATGTGGTGGATAACAAAACCACTCAGAAAGTAGTTCATAATTCATGTTGATTTTGAAAAGGACAGAAAATGAAACATGGTATTAATTTGAAAAAAGAAAAGTCTTAAAAATGATCCAGTACCCGTAAAATATCTAGTATAATCCAAAAGTGGAATTCAGTTTCACTCCCGCTTGTATATGTTTTTCTTCAGGAAGTACAGGGAGCCTGGGTGGATTTGATAAGGATGAAACCTAAGACAGGGAAATCCTGCAGAAAGTCTAAAAGCACTTTATAGCACTTTGAATTGCCTTGTTGCTGAAAATGTGCTATATAAATAAAATTACCTTACCTTACCTTAAAAAAGTTCAAAGGGTGTCAATCCGTTTGTATGCCATGATATGTAAACCCATTTTACTGTCAGAGTTTCAGCAATACAATCCAATGCTTTTGGAAGGCATAGGAGATACGTACAAAGAAAGAATAGAAAATCCCTACCCATGCATAGCAGAGTGGAATAAATAAGACATCATCAGATGTTATTTTCTCTGACAGCATGAGACAAAGTGTTCTCTGGAGATTTACTCTGTTATCTGTAAAGTTGGATTTTAATGAATATGTTATAGTCCACGTCTGCTTCACTTCAATTTAGTATGAAACAAAGACACGTGTAGACACGAAAACTGGTGTTTGGTGAGCCGAGCCTGCTCGTAGAAATGATTCATCGTGTGTCTCCTTTGATGTTGCAGGATCTTGGGAGTCAAGCCAAGATGTGACTTACGGTGCATCATAGACAGGATTCGTCCAGAATTTCCAGCACCAGTTTCTATAGCAACAGAAGTATCTGACAGTTTTAAATAGTCCCATTCCCACGATGCAGTCGTCCTCCCAGACTCCAAAGCCGCGGCGTTTCGACGCCAGCAGGCGGACCGCTAACTCAGCTGGGCCCAAGCTTCGTGGCTCTAGTCTTCAGAAGGAGGATAAAAACATGAACACAATCACCACCCCGTCCCCAAGGCGGGCTGTTAAAGCCCCTGCTGCTTCCTCCAGGAGCAGGACGGCTGCACAGCCACGAGCTCCAATAATCCAGTCCAGACCGAGCTCTCAGAAACAAGGTCCCACTGCTTCCAGATTGGCCAAGCCCAAACTGAAGAGCACTCGGCCATCTGCGGCGACCCGGAACACGCCAGAGGTGGCTGCCCCTCCGCTGCCTCTCCCCTCCGTCCTCCCTCTGGATCCAAACTGCAACGAGCCAAGCCTCCCTTGCCTGTGCTGCGATGGGCGCTCCCCTCAGGACAACAACAGCATGTTCAACCATAACCACAACAACAACAACACCGTCTCCATCAGGCAGCAGCTGCAGCTACCTCCTCCTCCTCCTTCTGTGGTTCAGTTGGCCCACAAGCGTGATGGGACGAAAGCCAAAGAGTCGGTTCCCTCGCATGCGGAGCCCTCTGCCCAATCTGCTGCCAATCTGGGAAACGATGTAAAGAACGCAGATGAAAATGCAGACGTGGACAACAAGAAAACTGTAAATGAAGACGATGAGGAGGAAATGAGCAGCAGAGATACTGCTATCGATGATGATGAGGACAATGAGACAGATAGTGATGATGACGATGATGACACCCTGGTGCCGTCATGCTGTGACTGCCCCCCATCCCTCTTGGAATTCTCACTCTCCTCTTCCACTTCATCATCCTCCACTTCCATCAGCTCCTGCTCTGACCTGGAGTCCGACTGTGCCGATCAGTGCGCTTCCATGTGCTTCTCACAGGACCAGGACCATTTGTCTGCTGCTTTGAACCCCAAAGACCAATTCCCTGAGTTCAAACATTCCTCATCTCTTCCGCTTAACAAAAATCCTTTCTCCCTAACCTCCTGTTCCCCAGTTGCCTCTTGCTCCCCTGATGAGGGATACCCCTCTGCGCTTGACTCCCCTTCTCCTGACTACTTAGGGGTAAAAGGCGACTCTGATCCTAACAAACTAGATTTACTTGACTTCCTAGAGTCTGTAGGGGAGTTTGGGAAAATGGAGCGCTTCAGCCAGGTTATCCAAGTTGCTCGCTGGGATCTGGAAGGGGAGCAACACTGGGATGTACTGAGGGATCGCCTAGATCACCTAGATCGTTTGGAAAAAGTGAACAGGGAAGTGAAGTTGGCTTACATTGCCAGACTTCACGAGAAGGGATTTGATCTGGAGGATCTGGAGGAGCAGGACCTCTCAGATATTATGGATGAAATGGGGAACATCGACATTCCCTGGAAGTTGTATAAAACCCGCGATGGAACAATGGGGGAGTCTCAGGAGTTTTCAGATGCCGGAGTTGATCTCACCGCTCCGTCAGACTGTGAAGATCCCCTTGCTCCAGACTCCCTCACCCCTTCCCCCATTGAGCCGCCACCCAGACCCCCCAAACCTCCTGCCCGTCATGCCAGCGTGAGCTCTGATCTCCACACCTACATCAACATCAGCAGAGAGACCACCTCCATGGCCGTCGCAACCTCCCCCACCTTGTCGACTTTCTCCCCCAACTCCTCTTCGCCCACATTCTCAACATTTCGATGTGAGAAGCCCCTCCCTCCATCTCCGCCATCCATCCCTCCTCTCCCTCTCACCAAACCAGTTCCCTACCTCACCCTCTATACCACTCCTTCCCCACCTCCGTCCATTCCCACTCCAACCCCACCCATCCCTCCACCTCGAAAGCGACACCTTGCCAGGAAGGAGGCCCAGCGCCTCGCTGCTCTTCAAGCTGAACAGGAAAGAACTCCCCTCTCTCTGCCACCACCCACCACACGCCCTCCACCATTGCCTCCTCCACCTGTCATCTCAGTGTCTTGCTCCTTCTCACCCCCCGCCATACCACCACCACCTGCCCTGCCCCCTCCGCCCTCCTTCCACACATTGGACGTGGAGATCCGGAAGCTGCTCATGCTTGCCGGACTGACCCAAGCCGAGCTCCTCAAGCTCAGCCCTGAGCTCAGTGTCTGCGTTGGGGAGCTGGGCGATGAGGAGGAAGCAGATAATCACTTTACATCCAGACCTCTGGAGTCCAGAGAGTTCAGATTACAAGACAGGGAGGCAGAGAAGGAAAACAACACAGGCAAAGTGGGTGGAGATGGAAAAGCATCTGAGGACGGCAATAAGGAGGGGGAAAGCAAAGACAGACAAAGGACCACCTCCTTCACTGAAATTGCAAGAAGAAGAAAGAAGAATACTGCTTTGGTGACAGATCATTACTACAGCACAAGTTTTAATAATCTGCATGAAGCAACAGTAAAGACTTTCTCTTATTCAAATGAGCTACCAGATTCTCCTCCGCCTCCTCCACCTCCTCGTCCTTTGCCTCCCATCCCACCTTCTTTAGCGCCCCTCAAAGTCAGCACTTTGCCTGCTAACTCTGAGCAACCTGAGCGCTTTGATTGGCTTATAGCTTTCACACCCGAATGTGAAGCCCCACCACAGCTCCCAGTACTGGAGAAGAGAAAATCCGCCACTGAAGTCCCAAAGAAGCTCGGTTCATCAGGCTCATCTCCAGGCTCTGGTCCAAAGGTGACTACGTTTAAAGAGCTTCGTTTCCGCAACAAGAGCACCTCCCCTCCCACAAAGGTGATCACCGATCCCGACCCCGACCCCACTGTCATCACCCCCGACCCAGATATACTCTACAACTTGAGGTGGAGGAGGGAGAAGGCTGGTAGTGACGGCAGCCAGTGGGAGTACACTTCACAGGCCCAGGCCCTGTTCATGCAGCCGCCCCCAGCCCTCACCTCCATGGCCGCCCTGAAGGAGATGCTGCAGAGAGCTGACAAGGAGGGTGGACAGCTGGAGTTGTGCCTGTCGCAGAAGATCGGCTGCTCAGTCAGTGACAGCAGCCTGTGGAATGTAGGCCAAGACAGGGAGATGAGGGAAGAGATGAAGGAAAGGAAGCTAGAGAAAGGAAAAGAGGAAGTGGAGGTGAGAGGCCGGGCTGATGGAGGGAGAACTTTTGAATCGAGAACTTCTGGTGAGTACAACTTTCACGAGTCAACAAATAACTAACAAGGCCATTCCAATTTAATACAGTTGAAAACCGTGAAGTGATTTCTCATGTTCACACAGAAAAGTGGTCTTAGTTTTTAATTCACTTCCCGCTGAGCCTCAAAAGCGTTCGCAAAGAACCAATTCGATCTCTAGATACTTTGTGACCAGCTGGCAGTGAAAATGGCAACAAAATGGTTCCAGTTTCTTTACTTCAATCTATTACAAAACAAAACAGTTTTTCAGTTGCAACAAGCCTTGTTGAACAATGTTTTAGCTAAAAACATACTAAGATTTTTTCAGAAGTATTCTTACACTTGTCAGTCTTTCACGTTTTGTTAGGTTGCATCCAGAAAACTTCAGTATGTTTTATTGAGATTGTATGTGATAGACCACCATAAAGCAGTACATTCATAATTTTGGAGATAAAATTACACATTATCCAGATGATGCCACCACCGCCATATTTCATGGTGATGTGCAATGTTAGTTTTCATTCACGCTCAACCTTGCGTCCAATCCAAAAATGTTTGATGAATTAATGATTTGTTTTAAGTATCAGGAAGCACAACATGAAGAGTTAAGGTTTTTTTTCACAATCCTGTCGATGTCTTTATTTATGTGTCCATTACAAACTGTAACTTAAAATCGAGATGATAGGATAATGAAAAGAGGAAAGAGGGGATAAAAAACAGGCGGATAGGCTGCATTCTCATATCCTCAGTCATGCAGAGATTATTTCCTTGGACATTTTCCTCCTTGTTGTCTCGTAATAGAAAAACCAAGATGGATGAAAATGTCGACTCATTAATGGTAATGGTACATTGAGCATGACTCAGAGGGAAAGTAAGGGTGATGTGATGGATGGCTGATAATGAGGGGTACGCAGCGAGAGTTTGGGAGTGAGGGAAGCTCGGGAGTGGAAGATGAACTGCCGTGTAGATAGATGAGGTAATATGAGATAAAAGAGGTGTTTGGAAACGTTCCAGCCAGCCCATCCTCCACTGGTTATCGAAGTGTGATTTCATCACAAACTTATTCAATTATTTATCATCTCTTCATTCTGAGGGTTGGGGGATAATGGGAGAGCACTAAAGTCTACTTTTATTCTTACGTTTTCAGTTTTCTTATTTTCCTAACTGGATTCCTATTCAATCTGGAAAAGTATGGGATTTGATTTTATTATTTCCCTAGTCTGGGAAAGGTAGGAAAAAAGCAAAGAAGAGCAAGGAAAAATACATTCATTTCCTATCTTTATTATCACTACTGTCTAAAAGTGCTCCTTCTTTGCTATGTCCTTTCTTTCTCAATCAATTCATTATTGATTTAGGTACATCAAGGATAACCTTTTCATATTGAGTGATGTTGCTTTTGATAGCTTTCTCTCTCCGATTGAACCTATTAATGTCGATGATTCCTTTTAATGACACTATGATTTAAAAACAGCTTTCTCTATTTTCTCAGATTAAATTTGCAAGTTAGCAAATACTTTTTTGCACATTATAAACTGATGGATTTGATTCCCATCAGTTTATACTGTGTTGGATGGCTGCTTCCCTGTATCCACAGAGTCATCCAGTATGAAAGTTTATTTTAATTCTTTAAGATCTTGGAGTGAGATATCTCTTTGATAGGTGTCCGATTGATGCAGCAGTGTTGATGATTTTTCCTACCGCTCATGAAGAAATTAACAAGTTGTTTTTTCCTGAAATGTATGTATTTAGAGGAAAATGAAACAACTTATGAAAAGACGTGTACACCTTTAAGAGCCAAAGGGGTGGATCTCTGTGTACAGGCCAATTGCTAAGAGTTTTGTTTTGATAATAGGAAGTAGCATATGTTGACTTCAGTACAAAGGGAGCTCAAGTCTAAACAAGGTACGACTTCTCTCTCAGCTCTTTTTTTTAGCCTGGCAGAAAACTGTAGTGCCACTCTGAGGCTCTACAGAGCCGAGGTTAGAGACCAAAGTGTGTTATCTCTGTCTACTGACTCAGCATTCATACGCTGACTGCTGTTACTGCTGGGAAGGACAGGAAGGTAGAAGCAGGGGAGGAAACAAAGGAGAAAACTGACAGAGGGAAGGCGGTCTGGAGATGGCACCGCACTGCAGAGAAGTTTAAAATATTTGGAGTAGTTTATGGAGTCTAAACATTTTCTATCTTCACATGCTTTTCTCAAGCAAGTGATAGAAAGTGAAACTACACTGTGTTTACACCCCATCAACTTTTTTTAGTTTGCATCAAGACAAACAACTTTAATGTATTCATCTGGATTTTTTTTTTTTTTTTTTACATATCTGAAAGATGTGACTCTATGCTTTTTCTAATTTCCTTGTGCTGTGATTGCAGCTGTAAGTCCTCTGTCTCTATCAGCTTCTAGGGGCATTGTTTTGCATATTATTGTGTGCAAAATGGTTCAGGCACAGTCGGATTACTGCTAGCATCTGGGACCAGCATTTTTCAAGTTTTATCCCAGATTCTTAATTGCATTTAGGTCTAGACTTTTACTGAGCTGCTATTATTTCTATACCTCATTTAACAAGACGCACGCCTTCTGAAAAGTTCCACTTTTAACTCATTAGTCCCCATGATATTTTTTTTCCAAAATTACAGCTGGATTTATTCTGAAATGAAATTGCACACATGTATCCCTTTGGGGGTGCTAGATTTTCTTAAGCTAACAAAATCCATATGAGCAATATGGTTAAACAAACAAAACAAAAAAAAACACTTTGTACAATTATTGACTACTTTGTGTTGGTCTATCACATAAAACCCCAGTCAAATGCTGAGGCTTTATAGCATTTATTTATGTAAAATCCCAAATCTAAAGACTTCTGTTCAAAGCTGCCATCTGCTGGTCATAAGATAGAATTCAGGATTAAGTCGCTGCCAGATTTTCTCTCATTTTTGTCTGGACAAACAAAAACACGCAAACGATGCCCTCTCAGCTGTTCTTAACATTTGCTTACCTGCAGTCTGAGCATCACATGTGGGGCAGGTTGAGAGCCACAGGCACACTAGCCCTTATTTAAAGGAAGTGGAATTGATCTTAATAAATCAGCCTCTCTGACTCCTGTGGTCAGTTTTTAAATGTGAGCCAAGTCTAAGTCCAGCGCTGTGTTATTAGACGATGGAGACTGAAATACTGTTAGAAATGTGCATTTTTCTCCTGTTTTACACTAACATTCTCTACATCTCTCTCTTTCTCCTTCCCATTTCTTTGCCACATTATCACTTTGGTTTTTTTTTCTCACCCATCCATCCCACTCGGTTGTATCCATTGTATGTCCATTGCTTGGCTTTATGTCCGCCCTATCCTGACTAATATTTTTCCGCTTAATCCCCTGAACTGAACAGTTTCCTCACCCCCGCTGTCCCTTGCCCGGTCCCCTCAACCCTACTTCCTGCACTCCGCCCTCCCTCCCCTCCACCCAGACCCCCATAACTCGCAGCTCCTCGCAGGTCGGTGGTCCTCCGACAAACAGGCCAGCGAACAGTGGAGTCCTGCTGCTGCAGGCTCAGCTTATATCCGCAGAGACGACTCCAGCTCTCTTGTAGGCTCTGGATTTGATGATTCCCTGGCTGATTTCCGTGCAGACTCTCCTCATTACTACAGAGACATTTTCAGCGAAAACACACATTCAGCTTATAAGTACGTCAGCGATTCCAAAACCAACACGGGGGAGGTTGAGTCGAAGTGTAATTTTGACTCACTCTACGGCAGCGATTCGGAGAAGCGAGGCGACACCCACGCCTCGCTTAGTGGCACCTCCGGACCGCAAGGCTGCACCACTCCATATAAGAACATAGATGTTATGATGAGTTACCCAGACAGCTTCGGTGCTGTGGATTCGCTGTATTCAGAGAGGCGCTGCCGTGCAGACGATAGCATTAAGGCCAGAATGTCCAAAGAGCTTCCTCCCCTCCCCACATGCTACCTGTACCACCCTAAAAACTGCCCGCTCCACCGGGGCGCCCCTCCACGCCTCTCCCCCATCGGCGCTCTCTCCCCTCCCCAGCGCTCTGGAGCTCTCCCGCTCTCTCGCCTCAACTCCCCGCTCTTCCCCCGTTCACACACCCTACCTGCCCTCGTTGCTCCCCTTTACTACCCCAACCTCTACCCTCCCATCCCACCCAGGGCGCCCCCGCTACCCCCTAAACTCTACCAGGGTCCTCTGCAGCCACATGTGGCGAGTAAGAATCTGCATTTCACATTTTTTCAGACTTTTTTTTTTTTTATTATTATTATTTTGCTAGACATTTAACTTGTGCGTATTTCACTCTGGAGTGGGTGTTCCCTTTTTCAGCTTGGAGGGAGTTTTCCAGATTTGAAAGTAGCTGTAACTATAGCTATTTGTGATATCAGAGGGCAGCTCCCTGCAGGTCATCTGATATGTCCTATCTCCATTCTTCTTTCAAATCTGCAAAAAGGACCTTCAGACGGGGAACAGCTGGTCCTGTCACAGCGTGTCTACAGTCACTCTGCTCAGTCTGTCTCTCTTTGTCCTCCCCTGTCTGTGTTGGTCTGTTCTGGATTCTCTCCTTGTTTTTCTTCTGTTTCTGCATGATGTATTAAAATTGACACATGCATCTCAGCCAAAGCACACCCACAGCACAGAAGATCTTTAAATTGCAGGGAAAATGGAATTGATTTTTAAAGTGTTTACTTTGTTCCTTGTTTCCCCCACTTTGATAACAGTTAAACCTTCGTATACAGTGGATTTAAAAAAAAAGTCTATCCACCCTATTTAAAATGCCAGGGTGTTTTTCATTTCAGAACTTTTCTACATTTAATACCTTTTATTTTTTAAAGGTTTTTCAAACTTACTGACTTTTTTAAAAAACAACATTTTAGGACCGGGTAGAGTGGATAAAAAATAAAAATAACAAGTTAGTTACATAGGTTTGCACACTTTCTTCTAACTCTATGTAAACATTTATGCAACCAAATTTCTTAGTTTTATTTTTCCTTTAAAGAGATTACTGTATTTCTATTAAAAATTTTTTTTTTTTAGTCATAAGGGTTACAGGTCAATTTAAAGGTGGAAAATGGTCTGAAAGGAATTATTATAGTCCTATTTTTCATGTCGCAAAACGTTGGCATTTTAATACAGCCATTTTATAAACTTTCTACATCCACTGTATGACTTTGCTTGTATAATAAGTCTTTAAATTATAAGTTTATGTTCTATAAATACCGGTGTGTCCACAGCACCTGTGTTTGCACATTTGTTGTTATATGTCCCGTTATTTTTGTGGTAACTCCAACAGCTGTTTCTTTTTAGCTTCTTGTTTGTTCAGGTTTCCTTACTGTAAGTTTGTAGAATGTTTTAAACCCACTCACAATGCCTCTGACTTCATGGCATATATTTCTTGAAGAAATTTATAGATGAACATTTCTGCTCTGTTTCTGGAACCTCGCAAAATCTAGGGCTTTATTCTTCCTTTGCTAATAATGCTGGGATATATTGAAATTTGGACCTTGAGGGTAAATAGCTTGAAACGTGATGAAAGCTCTTGATTGAGTTAAACTATCAAATCAACTTAAAAAATATGATTGTAACAAGATTTTCTTTTCATCACAGTGAAGACTGTTCGGTTTTTAAAGTTATCGATAACATCTCCACAATTCTACATTTTCTTTGTAACCAGATCTAAAATAAAATGTCTCCAGCATACTCCAGGAAAAAAATATTATTAGGGAAATATTACAGGCTGCTCGTGTCTCACCAAGAAACTTCAACAATAATTCTTGCTCTTCACGGTAATAAATTGTAGCTATGTGTTCAACTCTCTTGCACATATTAATTGGCTCTCCCCCAGGAGAAACACTTACTTTTCCAAGTTGAGGTTATGCTTGGCTGTGCTGGTTGCTGGGAGACCAAAGTAAGTTAGGAGCTTTTCAGGCTTCAATTTAAATGCAACAATGACCTCAATGCAATCAACCAAACATTAAGTTATTAAATAAAGTTATAACATTTGGACTTTAATAGTAGCAGAGAAAATGATGTTTGATGAGAGCAGTTTTTCCAAATTTGCAACAATTTAGCCACGATTATATGGGTGGTGGAAGTTAGCGAAACTATAGATTGGTCTTCAGTAGACTTCATCACATTTACATAAAAATAATTCCTAAAACCTTTTTTAGGGTGAGATTTGTGGCTCTACATGTGATGAACTATCTACTTCAGAGAAAATCACACTTTGCACAGTTTTAAAAATGTAACTCTAAACTGTTGAGACTGACTTATAATATATAGATTAGCTCTTTTGTAAATTACGTTTAGGTTTTTGCTCTTCTTTAATTTAAAACCCAACTCCCTTGCAAAGGATAATGTTTGTAGTTTTGAAAGAATCACAATAATTATTGGGGGCCAGACATTCACACTGGAAATGCTTTGAGTAAAGCTTTAGGAGTTTGCAAGATTTCAGGAATTTGTTTTATGAAATCTATGATATGAATTGGAAGCATTAAGTGAGTCAGTATGATTAATTTCCTGATAAATTTGTGAGCTGAGGTTGATGCATGGGCTTCTGTTTAACTCTCAAGCTGACAAGAAGCCATCATTACGGATTCAGATGTAAAACAACCTCGCTACTGTGGCTCCAACACTCACAGAATGTGCTCACAAAGCTCCATCTGCTTAATTTCACTTAATAACACTCACATGTTAGTTTTGCTTAGAAATTGAAGCTGTAAGTAATCATTTTCTCTGCCGTCGCAAGCCGTCCGCAGCGTCTCGTTTGCCGGCTCCGTACAGAAGATAGACGTTCCCTGGATGGGCGAGGATGTGGAGCATTCAGTGAGGGGTCTCGGCCTTACTTCTCTGTGCATGCAGGAAAAGAAAGGTGTTCATTCTCGCATTTGTATTATGTTTTTTTTTTTTTTCTCTACTGCATATAAACTTATCACCCTGGTCCTATCTTATTGTTTCTTCTCCTCAGCTCTGGTCAGTGGAGTCGGTGCTGCAGTGGAGGCCATCTTGGCTCAGTTCAGTTCTTCTCGGACCATAGTCCAGAAGGTCAGTCCCTAAAGAGCAGATTTAGTTACTTTGTTCTTTTTGAATGTGTGTAAATGTATAGATGTGGGTTTTCAAAGTGAATAAGCAATTTTAAAATGTAATAAAATAGGAGTGTTTTGAGTCATGCCCACAAAAACAAGAATGCGTTACCATACATGGATGAGGACCCTACCCTGCAATGCAGTCTTGAAGCCGGTCTCTCTGTGTGGCTGTAGAAAAATAACTGATTGTTTTAACAAAAACAACCTTCTTTCAGAGGAAACTATTGAATGAATGTGTGGTCACTTAGTACACACACAAAAAGGGTATAAAAACCACTTTCATTACAAAGATTATACAGAGTTCGTGCCTTGGCTAGTACAGACTTCTTGAACAGGGAGTAAAGATCCAGACTATATGGAGATTGTGAGCATTGTTTGTGAGCATAAAGTTTGTGATGTAAGAGAATGTTTATGTCAATTATTATCCGTTGGAGCATTTTTGTTCCTCTGTGTATGGCCTAAATAAAGCTAATGAAGGAGAAAGGGTTTGACCTAAGGTGCTGTTCGACTACTTTGACTTCTCTTCAAACCACAGCATGTGCAACATTAGCTGGGAGAGGCTTTGGAGAGCCAAGCAAACTGCTGTTGTGAGAAAACTAAGGACTTATAAAGTTTGAAAGGGGTGACAGAAAAAGTGTTTTGACTGCTACGTTACTCGAGAGATTATGAAGAAAATGTGAGACTTTCACCATCTCTGCATGATTTCCTAATCTAAAGTTTCCTAATCTAAAGTATTCTGGTGACTTGTTTTAGATAAGATGGAAAGCTCACTAAATCACATTTGTTGAATTTCATCAGCAAATATTTCCTTCAAACACTTGTCCATGAATTGCATATTTCACTCCTTTTCCTCTTGAGCATTTCTTTCCAGACACGTCTTTTTCAATTGCTGCAAACCTTTTAACTTATCCAATTCCATTTCCCTCTCCTCCATGTTCACCCCAGGCTTTATCAGGAGACAGCGCCATAAATCCATCTCTTGGCCGTCTGGTGCTGCAGTGCCTCTGCCCCGCCCTGCACAATTTGCTGACCGACGGCTTGAAGCCTCACCAGAGTGATCTGATCGCAGGCCGAAGGCCAAACTCGGCCTGGAGCCTGGTGCAGGCCACAACGAGGACAGGTAGCATCCAAAACCTCAAATGCTTGGACGGTGTCTGGCAGCTGTCCTGGAGTTTCCCCCTCCCCACCTCCTGTTGATGATGATAAACTTCAATTTTATATTTCTCCCTCATCTCTGTTGATTTTTATTTTTTTTTTACTGTTGAAAACGCTGAACAGAGGAAACCAGCTGGATGCAGATATTGATCGTTGTATTAGTGCCAAGCTTCACAGCAGTATTTCAATCACCCGTCTTCCTCTTTTTCCCTCTCATGCTCTCTCACTCAACCATTTCTGCAAGGTCCCAAAACTCAAGCCTTATTTAACCTACAAATCCGGGTTGGCGAGCTGCCGCAGCTGAGGCACAGCAAGCAGAGGTTCAATGCATTCCTCCTTGGTCTGCTAAAGTAAGGAATACCTCTTCTTACCTAACCCTGTGTAAGAGTTTGACATTCTGTCCTCTGGAAATGTTCTTATCACAACTGCTTATATCATTCTCCTTTCCCTGATTTTTCTCTTAAAGCATCAAGCTTCTAGATTTCTGGCTGTCTCATCTTCAGTCTTGCGGCGGTAAGTTTCTAAACCCTTAACAGATCTGGCTGTTGCTACGCTGCCTTGCAAAAGTATTCATATCCCCAGAGATTTATGACATCTTGAGCTTCAACTAATAAAACATATTTTAGTGGAATTTTGTGTAATAAACCAGCAAAAAAGTAGCAAATACATTTTTTTAAATGCAATTTGCATTCAGTCCTCTTTACTCTGACATAAGATGTCTTTTACAGAACCTTTCACCACTGATTTTTTTTTTTTTTTTCAAAATTCTCCTTTTGCAAGCAAGCCACTTCTAAAACCCTGATTTTTCTCAACCTCAGATGTGCTGGAGGCATATTACCACCCTACTTCCTTTATGCGTCTGTCACTGACCACCTGCTGGCCTCTTTTTGAGGAGCTGCTCCTCGTGCTGCAGCCCCTCAGCCTGCTCACCTTTAACCTCGACCTGCTCTTCCAGCACCATCACCTGGAGGCGGATTCTCACCGGCTTGAGATGCCCAGATCTCCCCACCAGGAGGCCGGGCTCCAGACTTCCCCGCAGGGCCAACAGAAATCCCCAGCTGGCAGATACATGGAGAGCCTCTCGGAAGTGGACTTTGGAAGCCCAGAACGTTCACCAAATACTTCACTGATTTTAAACAATGGCGGATCAGGGTCATCAACAAGTACAGATTCTGAACCTGTGAAGGCTTCGCCTAGTTTTGGGCAAACAACTCCACAGCTGCTGTGGGTGCAGGAAAAGGAAATCGAAACTTTACCTCTTTCTAATTTAGATGAAGATAGTTTTACCCAGCAAGCAGGACAGGTCAGTGTTTTATCATCCAACGCTTACAACCACTTGTGGTGTTGTACAGCTCTGCCAAGTGGACTTTTATTTTTCTTTTTTACGGTACCTCTAGGTGATCCAGCAGAGCTGGGGAGCTGTGATACGCTGGGGAGGTCGGCTGAGCCAGAACCTGGCCGACTTTAGCCTGTCTGCCGTGAAAAAGGAGACGAACACCAACAGTCCTGGTTTCCAGGACCAGACGGGAAGTGACTATTCCCCCGTCAACGGCGCTCAGGTTCCCTGGAGTCTGGGCCGACTTTTCGGAGCCTCCAAAAGCCCTACGGGTCACACACCACCAACCAGGTGAGCCGCTGTCTTCACTGAGTACATCAGCACAGAAAAGGACCTTCTTAGGATGGAAGAATATAAACTAAGCTTTTGCCCAGTACGTAGACGGGCTAAATATTTTTGAACACTTTTTGGGTATTAAAGAAAGAACACAATTTTCCATGTCACTGAGGACAACAGCCTTAGATAATCTGCATGTAGCAATCAAGTGAAATTGAACTTTTATCGTTTTCTGCCCACAAAATTGAACTATGTGTCTGATTCCTCCCATCCACAGGCGTCCCTCTCAGTGGTTAGCTCCCGGTGTCACGGCTCTGACCCGGATGGTGAGCAGCAGTTCCACCCCAACGCTACAAGGAACCACTGAACTTCAGGAAGGAAGAGACGTGGAATCAGAGAAAAAGACGGACGCCACAGAAATGAAAGAAAAACCCAGACAATTCAGGTAGAGTACAGAAACTCTGCAGATTCGCACTAGAGCCGCCTTTTCAGCTTGAGCTGCTAGAGATGCAGTTGTTATTTACTCGTTAATTTTCCATTGAATTTGAAAGATGCGTTTTGATATATTTTAGAACCTTTAAAAACGACTCAAATTGAATGAAATATCTAGTTGGTAAAAACATTTTTAACCCTAGACTATGAAAAACTCATGATGATACCACAATCTCAAGTTAATGCCTCAATCACACCAGCTTATTACATAATAAAACTGAGTGTGATATATTATCCTAAGGCTTTTTATGGTAAAGGAGGATATGAAAACATTTCTACAAAATGTTAACAAATATTAATTACCGCCAGTGTGATTATCCACAGTGAAATGAGTCGTGTAGGGATATTGACTAAAGAGCCACTAAGAGAGGAAGAAGAAATATATAAAGCCAGATTACAGTTTTTTTCTTAATGACTGTCCTTAGAGGAAAAATGGAGAACCTTGTAAGGCTGTGAACACCTTCATCACCATCATGATGTGAGGAAGCTTGGCTGAAGGAGAGGATTAAGGATTACAAACCTAATAGGAATGGGCCAGAATTCAAGCAAACTATGTTGGGAAGCTTATTGGGCAGAACAAACAAACAAACAAACAAAAAACATGCTTTTTTTTTTGCCCAATACCAAATACTCAGGAAATGTTTGCAAACTTTGAGTTTAAAGAAAGCTCACAAGAATAAAAAAAAAAAAAAATGTCTGACAGTTTAAATTTTGTTTATTTGATATCAAAGAAAAATCAAAATAGGCTAAAACTTATGTTAACATATTGGAGGTTTATACAAACCAGAGTACCACAATAAAAAATAAATAAAATAAAAAACCCTGATTGGTGGATATTTAAATAACATGTTTTGCCATTATGTACATGAAATAAAAACGTCAGATTTAGACAATCAGTTATACAAGAGGATGGACTAGGCATGGGAAAAAAATAAAGACAACTTAGTCTGAGGTAATCCAAGGCTTGTCTCAGCTCTCTTTAACCCTCCAGGAACCCTGGTGGGTGTAGCAGAGATCAGAATAGCTGCTGTTATCATTTCTCTCGTTGAAGGACGTTCACCGACTGATGACTCATCACTCTGACCGGTCCTGGTCGTGACTCATCCGGTCCTGCTTCATATGCCGACGGCATACCGTTCTCGTGGCTGTAACCGCTCTTGTGCTACAGGTCCGTTCGAATGCTGTGCGACCACGCCGGAACCGGCGCCGAGCTCAGCTTCTGCAAAGGCGAAGAGCTGGTGGTGCTGGGAGGCGTCGATCAGGACTGGATTCGATGTCGTCAGGGAGACAAGGAGGGGCTGGTACCTATTGGCTACACCTCGCTCATCATGTGACGTCGGCGCTGTAACCTCTGCACTAAAATCCATATTATATTAAATAAATATATATAAAAATATATACATATTAAAGATATTTTAAGTGAGTCTGGAGGGTTTATGGGAAGGTCGCACTACTCTGAAAGGGATATTTTACGTGGGTTTGAGTTGAGAGCGTGACGCCATCTGCTCCGCTCTGCTTTCATCTCGAGTATTCTCCAGTCCTCTCCTGTTGTGAACATATGGGGCTTTTTTTCCCATTAAAGCTCATCCTGTTTGGTAGCTAATGAGTTTAAGTAGCAGGAACACAGCAGATGGCGTGAAGTAATGACTCAACTCAAATTCAAACCATTATAATATTTAAGTGAAGTGTCCCTTTTAATGCTTTTCTTCCATTCCTGCACTCCACGTCAGCTGCTGATCTGAAACCCGACGGCGGGGGGAGACCCTGTCCAGTTAACGTGTTAAAGTCGACATCTTTTAACTGCTTCAGCGCTGCAGCCGGTGGGTCATTGAGTGAAGAAAGGATGCTAGAGTACTGCGCCGCAGCTCCTGTTTGCATACTGCGTGTCAATGTGGTGAATTGTAGCTGTGTAGGTCCGTGTTCCCTTAACAACCTCTCTCATCTCTGGCCCGGTTTGTGTGTGTTTCTGCGATTCTAGTAGACTGTATAATTATATATATATATATATATATATATATATATATATATAAATTATAATAAATCCATGTGTATAACTATATTAACTGAGGGGAATTTTACCAAGGCAGATAGATTACCAAGAGGGGGAAAAAATAAGTGAAACAGTAAAGACTGTGACATTATTGTGAGTTTGACTGATGGGAATGGATTGATCCATCTTTAGACGTGCAACTCGCCTCATGCATTAAGTAGATATCCTGCAAAGTAAATTCTATGTTTTAATTATAAGATCCAGCATCTTCCTTTATGCGTGCTTTTTGTGTTGCAAATTTTTCGCCATACATTAAGGTGCAAAAGATTGTTTTCAAAGCACTACATCTTTAAATTTTGCTTCAGCTGAGCCAGACTTTATTGTAATCTCTTAGAGTTTTCTTGGTCGGTTTTTCTCTGGGTTTTCGAGGTTTTTTATTTTTATTTTTTTTTAGGTGATCTTTGAATTTTGCATGCTTTTTCACTCAATATCTGTCCACCATTTCAACTGATAATTCCTTCTTTTTTTTTTCTTTTTCTTTTTTTTTGTCAAAGCACTTTCAGTACAGTGCCTTGCAAAAAAAGACAATGTTTTGGAGACCTAAACGTGATCCTGGGTTCTACGGTTGAGATTTTTGCAAATTCTTTTTGGCAAAATCACTCAAGCTCAAACTTTTTCGACGGATTTAGACTGTAATTGTCCATTTTCAAGTCTTGCGACAGATTCTCAATTGAATCTTGGTCTGGGCTTTGACTGGGCCATCATAGCATAAATGTTTTTCGCTCCAGACAGGTTTTCCTCCAGCTATTTTCCCATCAACACAGAAAAGCATTACCACAGCATGATGCTGCCACTGCTGCGCGTCAGTGTTGGAGTGGTGTATTCAGAATGATGCGCAGTACCACAAATTGTGTTTTGCATGTAGGTTAAAAAGTAAAATTTGGTCTCTTCCAAATGCCGTATATACACACATTTTTCAGTTAGATTCTGTAGTCAGCTACAAGGTTGGGACAGAAAAATTTGCAAGAAACAAAAAAAGCAGCCAAGGTCCAAAGAAAACTTCTGAAAGTCTGAAGAACTACTAATAAGGACAACTTTTTAAAAAAAATTACAGGAAAGTCTGGCTCCTTGGAAGGCAAGCGTAAAGGAAACAAGGGATGACTCGAGGCTTTTGCAGTACTGTAATTTTCTGAAAAATGATTACGTATAGCTCATAAAGTTTAACACTGAATGCATTTTAGTATAAGCATGAATGCTTTGAATGAATGACACATTGGTATAACCCTCCCAGTGGTGAAATATGAGACAAAGCAATCTGTAGCTCATCTTGTGGTTTGAGAAACAACCTCACAAAAACATCTTCAGCTCTTGTGTAACACTATCTGAAATAAAATATGAATGCAGCGAGAGGGGGGAAAATTAAAATTCTTGAAGTGATGTAAAATGCTGCAGTAAAGCTTTTAGGTTTGGTGGCTGGTCCTCAGCTTTCGTATTTATCTTCCTGCCAGGTCTCCTGATCATAATCATTGATATTGATGATAGTGGTGATGGTGGAAGTGGTTCGTTTGTACTGACGCCACTCGTACGAAACCCGTTGCTTTGCGTCATATTTATATATTTATTCGTTTATCTCTGGATTCTAGATGTATCGACGACTATGCATATGCTTAAACGTTGAGCCGTTTTGTTTCGAAGTCATCGTTTTTAGTTTTGTGCGCAACTGAGGCATTGCGAGATGTCTTAAACTCTAAAGGTACGAGACGAGAAGAGACTCGAAGACGTCTGGATTTGGTTCTGTAGGAAGGTTTCTTCACCACTGACAAATCAGGGAGAGCTCGATTCCTCAAAACGTCCTTGTAGTTCCCGTGTACGCCAGTGCCATGTAGCATGACATTACTGGCGCTACAGCAAAAGTCCAGTAGCAGTAAATGACACCACTACATGCTCTTACTGTAAATAATTACCATAATAAAACACCATCAAATGGATAGTTATAAGAAATCTTCAGATTGAATATTATTGGACAAAAAAAGTTCATTTAGATTTTTTTATGTGAAAGCCGATAATTTATTGGATGTACTATTTATTGATTCCAAGGTGTATGAAAAGGAACAGCTCTCTATCTGTCTGGGTTCTGAAAGCGTGAGGGTGTGAACATGATGGTGGTGTGTGTGTGTGTGTGTGCGTGTGCATATGGAAGTGAAAGTAGAGATGATGTGAGCACTTTCATGTGTCAGCACGTCCTGCTGTTTTGCTGTGTGTGTGTAACAGAAAGCCTCCTTCTCCTCCTCCTTTTTTTCTCTCTCTCTCTCTGGTGTAACGTAGCCTGTAGACATTTCCAAGTCCCACTGTTGCATATAGTTGTGTGCCCCTCTGGTGTCGGTCAGTTGTCCACCTCCTGCATGTGCTTGTTTGTAAATACACTCAATAAAAATCATCTGGTCAAACCAAAACTGTCCAGCTGTTTGATTCGCACGTCATACACAATACCTCACGTGGAAATCCTTCTTTGATACTAAAGGTTTTTATCCTGGAAGGATAGTTGAAATAGTTCAGATCAAAGCTAACAGTATTTAAACAAACTTTATTTATTTTTTTTTTACCACATATCTTTATTGAATATCAAGCAGATAAAACTGATGACCTCTGCCTCACTTATCATGCAACCCTTCAATGTGTAATTTCTTCCAACTTCAGAAAGAAAAGAAAAAAAACAGTTTTCCTGAACCAGCTTGAAACAGAAGGAGGATTTGGGAGATTCTACTTTGGGATAAATTGTCGTCTGGCCAGCAGAGATGTAAAGGCAACAATCTCCCTCTGGGTGGATCTGAGTGGAGTTGACTCAGCAGGGGTCCCAGAAGTAGCAGCCATGGAGCAGGACACTAAATATAATCCCATTATGGGGAATTCTGCCTTAAAATAACCAGCCTAAAAATCATGAGGCTGTAGCTCTGGATTTTCTAAAAAAATTTTGCAAAAAGAAATGCATATTTAAAATTTTGGTAACACTTTATTTGAAGGGGGCTGAATAAGACTGTCATGACACTGTCATAAACATGACATAACACCTGCTTGTCATAAAGCGTCATTCTGTAAATTATGACACTTTTAATACAAAGTTGACATTATTCAAAATGTCTTTGTTATGACAACTTGACATTAACCAAGAAATCATTACTATTTAAACCTTTAATAACATAAAGTTACCTAATTTTTAAAGTGCAATCAGTAATACTTTTATAACAAATTTATATTAGCAATGATTTCTTGGTTAATGTCAAGTTGTCATAACAAAGACATTTTGAATAATGTCAACTTTGTATTAAAAGTGTCATAATTTACCGAATGACGCTTTATGACAACAGTCATAAATATTCATGAAGACTTATTGATGTTCATGACAGGTGTTATGTCATGTTTATGACAGTGTCATGACAGTCTTATTCAACCCCCTTCAAATAAAGTATTACCAAAATTTCATTCTGCCACATTTTATTTTTTCCCATAGACTTATTTCTGAGTCTTTCTGAAATATAAGCATGAAGCAATGTACTACTCCTCAGTCTGTGAGAGAACCTGTGCAACAAATGGTTCAAAAATATTGATGTAAAACTGCAAAGATTTCTGAAATTGTATCAGCCAAGTTGTATTGGCTGATACCATTTCTGAAATGATATCAGCTCAGGTTTATTTGAAGTGTGGTTCCGTTGGATTCATGAGCTGTCAATATCTTACCTGAAGTTAACTCTGACAGTATTGACAGTCTGGACTCAAAAGCTCTTAAAGCCAAACATTAGTTTTAATACATTTTTTAAACTGTCCTGATGTTTGCATTGGATGCTTATTGACTCAGAAGTCTATGACCTCATACTAATCTCATCCTGCACAGGTGGCACCCAGTCAAATTCACGCTGGAACTCACTAAGCTCCTGACAGAAAATTATTCTTTCACAAATGGCATTGTAAGCAGACTGCATCCCTAGGTTCTGGATTTATTACACCTGTACCCACTAACATTATTTGAACATATAAATTCAATAATTTGGGCAAATCGTTTTGGTAGAATCGGGCGTCTGTAAGCATATTTTAGTCATTTGTGGCACTAAATGACTGATGGGCCTGGTGAGCGGTTATCAGGCGAGAGGTGATATACGCCCTGATCAGGTCACCAGTCGATCAAAAGACAGTCACACACACACACACTCAGCCCTAAAGGTAGTTTTTTTTTATTTTTTATAGAGTATTCAGTGAACTTAACAGTCATGTTTTTTGACTGTAGGAGGAAGCCAGAGTATCTGGAGGGAACCCATGCATGCACACGGGAAGAACATCCAAGAAAAACCTCAGCCCAGGTTTCGACCTTCTAGCTGCTAGGCAACAGTGCCACCAACTGCTTTACTGTGCAGTTGGTGGCACTGCACAGTAAAGCAGTTACTGTATATTTAACTGATATTAATTTTCAGTTAAAATTAATATCCTTTTTTAAAAAAAAAATAAAAAATTCTTAGTTTCAACATGTAATAAACAGGTTTGTTTAAAACAAGATTGTACCAGACATTCTGCAAACATACACATTCTAGTCAATAAAAATTCAAAATCCTATCCACTATTGTAATCCCTTTTTTTTTCCTTTTGTTTTGTTTTTGGAGAGTTTAAATGACCTAACTCTGCCCCAGCCATCTTTAAAGGCTAGAAAGAGGAGAGCACAGGAGCACCTCCATGCGCTACACCCTTCCACCATCTTGTTATTGTGCTGCTTTGACAGCCCTGTTGTCCACTGTGGGTCATTACAGAGGACAACAGACTGTGAGATGTACAATCTTACACCACTAGATAGGACTGTAAACTCATACTGATTAGCATCACTGCGGTACTTCCACTTAAAAACACAAACACAGCAGGAAGGAGGGCCTTGAGGCTGAAGCAAGACGAGTTCACAGGGTTTAGTACCAGGAGACATAAAATGCTTTTATTATTATGGATATAGAGGCAAAATGTTTGAGCTGACATTCTATGGCAATGAGTTATCACTTTTTTTTTGTTTTGTTTTGCTTATCAGATGCACACCGTCAGAGGCAACAGGCAAAGGTTACATGTCATGCAAACTAGATAAATAACTCATTATGTGTACCTTTGCTATAAAGTTAATCATCCACTGGCAATAATGTAGTGCCTTTAGGTAAAAAAAAGTAAAGAGGGAGAAAAATATACATACAGTATGTAAACAGTCAAAGAAATTGCACTTTTTTGGCTTGCTATAAGAAGCCACACTACTGAAAGAGAGCACTGGAGAACAAACAAAAAAAACCAGTTTACTGTCACAGATTGTCTGACCAAAGTACGCTCAGCTAAAAACGGAGGCAAAATATGTAACTCTACAAAAAGAAGAGAGAGTAAAAATAATATACAACCATGTCAGTTCTAAGGATATACTGGTCAGCTGCTTATACTGTTAAAAATGCCTCGGCAAAATGAAAGATCTGACTGGTAGCGTTTATGCGTTATGCTAAATTTACACTCTACTGCGGCCGAAAGGAAAACCGATCTACGTACTGTACATTCACATAAAACTGAAAGGCTTGTTAATCCAATGATCCTAGGATGAGAACAATTTAATATGCTTTTTGTACAGAAAAAACAAAGTCCTCAAATATTCACAAATTAATTAAAAAACATAACTGGAGTACTTATATAGTCCTTATTAGAGGAGATATTGCTTTTTAAAGACCACATGAGCTCGCTTTTACACATAAGACGACATGGCACTTCTACAGAGCATTTTGGGGTAAATCACTTCTTGTATCCCTTTCCCCGCTGACACCCCACCACCACCATCGCCGAGGACATTCTGATTGTCAGTGCTCCGAAGAAAAGAGGGAAACCCTCTCAAAGGCAGTCGGGAGTAAACAAAACTATCTCCCCCTTTTCCTTGGAAGCAATACTGAAAATAGTTCAACAATAAACATTCCTGTCATGGATATATTCTGTCCATTTCTATAGCAGACAACACTTTTTTTTTATTATTATATTTTTCTAAAAAATAAGCTCTTTCTCAAAACCTCATTAGAAATTCTCTTGCAGCAATGCCAAAATTCCTATTGCTAAGCTCTTCCCACCCTCCCTTTCCCCTATTCACTGGAACATGGCAGACACAGTCTTGTTAAAGCGAAGCAGAAAAAAAAACCTAACACTTTTTTTTTTTCTCTCTCTCTTTTTTTTTTTTTTTTTTTTTAGTTTTTAACTGGCTCGCTTCTCCTTGTGCCATTTCCCAAAGGTGCAATGTGACTTTGAAAGCTTAACAAGTAAATGAGGGTTCAATTTTGACCTACTTAAGGGGGGCCCGGGCTACATTTGCGTTTTCTCCTCCCCGGGCGGCTTATGAGCTCCTTGTCTCTTGGAAACTAGTGAGCCGAAA